TGCTACATCAGCTGTGGAAATGACTTACAGTTTTTCCCTGTTTCCTAAAATATTGACCAGACGTAAAGCCTTCCTTTGATCCAAACAGAATTACCAAACTTCAGGCTTGGTGTTCTGTTTGTTTTGTTGTATGAAGCATGGATAGCTATTTAAGGGAAAAGAGGGGATTTGGATCAGATTGGCAATGTTGTCGTACTGCAGTGGGATGAGGCAGAGAAAAGACACCCCCCCCCCACGCCCCCCGGCCCCTATTTCTGCCCTGTGGCTGTTGTCCATGCCAGGCTAGGCAGATTGCTTTCCCCATCCTTTAGTTTAACATGATTGTCCTCTGTCAGAAGGTTTATACTACTGTAACTGCTTTCATATTAGTGGAACCGCTTCTGATTTACTTCAGTGTAAATGTCAGGGTTATCAGTTTCTGATTTAGTCCGTTTAATGTCCCAGTTCACTGAGCTGCTTCAGCATATGCCTCGTCAGGGCTTATGTCCAATAAGCACATGAGTAGATCCATTTAATTTTAAGTAAAGAGGTAACTGAGTCTTTGTGAAATGCTCTATATTTTTAGTTCCTGTTGATAAATCCAAAATATTAAAGGTATAGAAATAGGTAGCTACAAGCAAACATTCATTTCCACCGTTAGACATATCCACGCTTGAAGAGATACGTGAAAGCCCTTCCATTTCCAAGAGCTTTGCACCACAACTGTATTAAAGGTGCACTGTTAGACAAAATCTTAACAATGAGTTCAATTATATCAACACATCTCATGGTCACTCAATATAATGAGAAATAATTTCACTTAACATTGCTGAGCCAGTTTATTTTTCTGTATTAGTAGAATTTTGCTTTAAACTACCATGAAAATTTGAAGTGTTCAAAGTTCTTTTTTTTTTTAATTATTTCAGTGGTGAAAAATTAATTGTGTACAAAAATAAGATTAGTAATTGTTTCAAGAATGCTCCATAACTTTCTTAATGTAATTTATAAATTAGCAATATTTTCTCCTCTTTCTTGAATTCATTGATCCATATGTATCTGTACAGGTTTCTGTAGAAAGCACGGTTCTTGAGTATTTTGTTTTTCCTTACTTTATGAAGCTGGCTCAGATCTTTTGCAGCTTGGTAGATTCCTCACTGGTGGAACATTGCTCCCGATCTGAATTTGTGTCTTCAGTTTAGTGTACATTCTTTACTTTATAGACATAAGAGAATTAAAATCAATAATTATAAAAACATCCTTTTTAATGAAAAAGTAATGAAACCATTTTCTTTGCCAGTCCACTTTTCTTTTTTTCCTACACGTAACAACAAATCTCCATGGAAGAGATCTGAAATTTCACTGATAGCTGAAATTTTGTAGCCATCCTTGAATTCAGACATGTAGGGTTCAGGCACTGGATAGAAAGGAATGTGTATCAGTATTTCAAAAGTAGGTAATTCATATGGTATGAAGTGTTAATCTTGAATACTGCACTAATTTTTCAGTTTACTGGTATACAAAAAGACAGTATGACTTGACATTAAGCATTTACCTTTTATACTATTAAGGCACTGGCAGAGCAATACTGTTAAACTAGGCAAAATTAAATCGCATCTGTTTGCAAGTATTCAGCTTAATCCATGCAACCATCAAGACAAGAAATAGTAAAACAGTAGTTAAAATGGAAATGTCCTTAATTTAAGGATGGGAAAAATCAGTTTGTTTAAAGTCCTTTGTAATAAAACTATTTGTGTAGTTACTTTGAAGACTCATTACTGTTTTAAGGAATTGCTTGAATTCCTCTAAGCATTACTAAATTAAGACACTGTTTTTCTTTACCTTGAAGTGGCATTCTACATACACTATAAAAATACAACATAGGTCTCACTGACTAATCATTGTATGAATATTTTCACTTAAATTCCAGAATATTCTCTTCTAAAATTCTATTCTATTAAATATGTAGAAATATTCCTGTTTATTAGACCAAGTGAATTGTATGTATACCTGCTGTGAAAATAAAAGAAGTAAAAGTGTATGATTTGATTTAAACATTGCTGTCATTTATGAGAAAGCAATGTACAAATTTAAATATGTTTTTACTGTTGTCAAGAAAGCAGAATTTCTTAATCAGCATCGGGAAATTATAGTCTATAAAAATTTTGTTTGCTTCTTGTATTTGTTATAACTGACTAGAAATTGCTTTTTTCTAGGAATTTGTCAGGGAATATTTTTTCAAGTCTCATGAATGGACTTTTTTCAGAGCTGCTAGCTCTGAAAGCACTGTAAGTATGATACCTTCTGTTTGGAAATCTGAAATATTCGAGAAACACATTAGAATAAACACAGCAGAGTTGAATATGAATTCAAATAGGATTGTTTCTAGTAATGCATTCCAAATGTAAAATATGCAGTATTTTGTTATCAATGTCTGTCTCACTGCTGATGAGCTGTCATCTTCTACCTGGCCCAGTGAAATGGATAGCGCTGACAACTTGACCCCGTTCCTGACTAGCCCGGTCTAGCCATCCTGACTAGCATCCCTGTTTTTTTTTCCTTTATGATCTTATACCTTTCCATGTTTTCATGCATTACATCGTGTAATAACTCTAAATACACAAAAACATTCATGTTAAATATTTTTCCTGCAATTATAATAACAATTCCCAGTTATTTATATTAAATTTACTTCTCTGAGATTTAAAAATGTATACCGGATACTTCCATGGTTAAGTTCCTACTCAAAAGAGTTTTTCTAAGTGAAATTATGTTATAGTATGACTTTCTACAGCAGCACATACTCAAATTTAATCCAGTAGTCAGTGATGCTGTTCTGTAACCAAACCCAGAACTTTGGCATAATGCCTTGGAAGTCATTAACAGTGGGACAATGTGTATTAGTTGTCTCAGGATACCTTTACAATTATACATCTATAATTATACATCCATAGTTATGCATCTACCTAGAATTAGTTCTCTTTGGAGTTAGATCATTTGAATCTAACAGAAGAAAGTATGTTTATGAAAATTGCATGGGTACCAATTGTGATCTTTCTTTGCCTTTCTAGACATTTCAACACCGATTCACTCATTTGTGACTGTAATCTAAAATGGGTCTTGCAATGGGCCAGAAATGCTTCAGTTCGAATAGCGGAGGAAACAGTTTGTGCTTACCCCAGTGCTTTACAAGGACTGTCATTTCATAACCTGAAGGAAAGCCAGCTGATATGTGGTGAGCTGTACTCTCATTCGACATTACAAATTGAAGTGGAATCCAGAGAATATATTAAAAAACAGAAATGATGGAAAAAAAAAAAGTAATAAATCTGCCTTGTTTATAGGCACAAGAAATCCAGGTATATGGCACAGAAAATACCACTAAGATTGAAAGATGGAAAAGAATACAAGTTTCTTATTTCATACAAAGTTTTATATATATATATATATATATATTTCAAGAACACCACTGTCCTGTCTATATATTAGGTAACATGTAATTATGATTTAAAAGATTAACCCATGATGGTAGCTCTACATTGTATACTGCATGAAACTGAGGATTCCTACAGGGATTTATAGAATATTCCTTTCAAGTTATACCTCTGACAGCGTGGCATAAATGTCAGATTCCATTCTGGTATTTTTCATTTTTATAAACCTGTAACTATACATTTTAGCACTGTGTCCTGGGGATGAATAGAATTTTTACAGTGAGCTTCAGTTAGGTGAATTCTGTATTTGAAGATCTGTAAGTGAATCGCTTTTTGAAAAAGATTTTTCACCGTAGCAAGCATGATGGATATGGTGTGAGGAAACAAACAAACAAAAAATGAATGAGTAAAGAAAATTCCTCTCACACTGAACACTGTCTAGCAAAGAACAGACAAACCCAGAGATTCTAAAAGTATCGCGTACTGCAGAGAAAAAAATCTTTGCCTAAGATTATGCTGGTGGGTTCCATAATCAGAAGTATAATTTCACACATACTTCGTTAATAACAGAATCTTTGAATCTTTGACTTTCTTGAATGACAGAAAATTGCTGGGATGGTGACTTTGCTAATGTCTTACAGGAACAAAAGGAAAGTCACACTTTTATCCTAATAACCACAAGAAGAATGATGTGTGTTGCTAACACATTTATAGCAGAAGGGGGATCAGTGTTGACTGGAGTAATAACAAAAAATTTGGTTTTAACAACAACAGCAAATACAGATATTTACAAGTTGGGAGAGATGTGAAATGATGTGAATACCAGCTACAGACGTTCCATCAGCTGAATTGTTAACGAAACACTGATACCTGTCTGGAGGCAAATAAGGAATGAGCTCTTGTGAGTGAAAGGCAGAGACGTTTCCAGTAGCCTGTATTACTGAACATGTGAAAATCTGCAATACTTTTCAAATATCTAGCTGCCATTTTATAGAGACCCAGCATGGGCATCTTCATAGAGATCCATTTCCCAGCAGGAAAAGTCCTCTTTCTGAAAATGCTGGAATGATCAGAAGAATCGATTAAGCACTGTTAATTGGTATTTCCAGGTTGCCAATGAATATGAGCCTGTGAATTTTAGAGAGGAAATGAAAGTAGTTTCTCAGAATTTCGTACTTTAATTCCTCATAGGACTCCTTACCACACCTCTGATACAGAATTTACAAGACCCATCTAGTTGTCACTGCTATTTATAATGTCCACTGAACACTTGACAAGGTTCGTAATGACTGCCAACAGCTTGACACCCCTTTTTAGATCTGCAGAGAGCTTCACGGTGATTATATTTGCTGAGCCTTACACCAGCTATGTAATGTCTGCCAGGTACTTCACGGTGCTCATAATATTTGTTGGGCAGCTCACGGTGCCCACAACAGTCAGCAATTTCATTTTCAGTAACTTAATTCAATAACTTAATCACCTTAGGTTAAGTAACTCAGTAACTTAATATTAAAATACATTCAGTAACTTCAATCAAATTTCAGTAACTTAGGCATAATAGAAGGCTGTCTGGCACCAAAATAATAACAACTATTGAGAATGTCTTAAGAATAATATGTGTTGAAATATGCATAGAGCTAATCAAATTAAACATATCTTAAAGAAAATATTAAGAAGTGGTTTAAAAATTAAACACTCCTGCACGTGAACACCTTCCATACTGTCAGACATTTGCATTTATAGTTACTGATCTTCCTTCTACATGCTAGAAGAGGTCATGAGGTATCACAGTCACAAGATGAGCAAAGAAAAGAAGAATGGAAGGGAAAAAATGAAAATAGAAGGGAAACGGCAAAGATCTTTGCAGGCGAGTTAGGGAATGAACCAAAAAGTCAAAGTATGTGAAGAGGAAATGAGACAGTAAAAAAATTTCTGAATAGCTACAGGGGGCAGTTTGCCCTGAGCTTTTTCGGTGTCTTTTATGTTTGATGGGAGAAGAAATCATCGTTCAAATTTCTTTCTGGCAGATCTTTCGCATGCATCTGATAACTCAAGATAGCTAAAGAAGTCACCCATTGAAAACAGTTAAAAACCCGCTTTGACGTTTTTTATAAGAGTTAATTTAAGTAACTGCACAGTTTTGGAATTCACTGGATTCTGCTTGCATAGTTCATTAACAGCTTATAAGAGCTACTTAAATCTTCTTTAAAAAAAATCTGCAACTCGGAAATGTTCGGCTAGAAAGCAATTTTTGGCAATGTTGGAAATAAGGCTGAAAAATAGTTTGATGATAAAAGACAGTTTTGCCTTTGTCTTCTGCCTTAATTATGAGGGACTGCAATGAATTCATAACGGTATGGACAGCATATCTTTCTGAAAAATGGTTGTGAAATTAGCTTCATGCGGTGCCTTGTTACTGTTTCTCCATGACTCCAAATAAAACTTACACAATTTGCAGGAGGAAAACTACATTTTCCTGAACACGAGTGCTATAAATTCCACCTGAGGTCTGAGAGCAGTGTGTGGTTTTTCCTTGCACACATCATCAGCAGAAATAGATTCTGTAGGCCAAATTCTTCACTCTGGAAAGACCTGTATGAGTTTTTGTCTTAAGGGGATTACAAAAGATTGCTCTTAAAGCTGGGTTTTGATTATTTATACTGATGAATGAGATATTAGAATTTAGTTTCAGTCTCAAAGCTGTATTTATGCTATTGAACTAATAGCACTAAGTAGTAAAAGTTCGTTTGTTCTGCAAATTACAATTGACATATAACTCTGATGAAGCCTTTTTCTGTTAGAAAAAGTTGACTCATAAAAACAGTTGTTTGGAAAGGTGCTGATTTTCTTGTCTCCCCCAATTAGATTTTATTTAAAGTTTAGAAAGTAGTTGACATAATATCAATAATCTTTAAATAAATGATTTGGCTGAAAATGATGTAAATATTTACTAAATTGTACAAAAAATATTGCAAAGGCCAAAGTATAAAAAAAATGTATAGTGCTTTAAGACATTATTATTTATTTATTTCCACCACAAATAAAATGATCTAATTCTCCTGGGACAGAATCCTGTTTCTCATGCAGGTCTCTTACAAATTAAAGTATTGCTTTTTGCATATACGTTTTCTCTACAGGTGTTTATAAATAAATAATTGGGACCATGCTATCACCTTTTTTCAATTTAAAAAAATTGCTTTAAAAGTAAGAAAATATAAAAGGATATTAAGAAATATATTTTCTTGCTTAGAGTTTAATGCGTTTATACATAATAAATTACATTTTTATTCCTTATCATTATGCATTTTTCTGTGCAGAGAGTGGGTAGGTTTAGTTCTTTTCTTGGTGTCAGTAGATTTTTCAGGTTTATGTAGTCTACTGTCCTAATCTTGGTCATCATATTGTTGTGTGGACTATTTTCCTATAAAGCAGACAGGTTAAAAGAACTAGACGTAGTATCTTGTCAGTTCTCAGGAAGCCTAAATGTAGAGATGCCTAGATTTTTTCAAGTCACTTTGCTCTACTTGAGCAGATGGTTTGATACATACACATCCGCACCATCTCATCACAGCACTTTCAGGCAAGCTAGTTTTGTCGCAGGTCACCTTTCCTGTTCCTGTTGTTGTCCTTACCTTCCCTAGCAGCCTGCTGTAAGGCAGTCTGGCAGGAAGTCTGATAAAGCAATCTTTAACAGTCTTGGACGGCTCTCGGGCCGTGTTAGCAGAGCTCATTCTAGCCCTTTGCCTCTGACCCTTTCATGAGGAATGGGCTAAATGTAGTCCCCCAAAGCTGTGTTTACCCTCTTTCTCTGTCTATGATGGAAAGATCTACACAAGTCTTTTCCTTGGAAGAAATGAATCAGTTGCTTGCATCTTTATTATGCTTCTGTCCCAAATTGTTCTTAGTTTCCCACTTCCTTATTTGCTGGGTTGTATTGAATGTGAGGAAATCTTGCATATTGAACTACTTCAACAGAGGATTGTAGGCAAGAGTGAAAAGAAGTTTTAAGCATTATTTATTCACCTATATTGTGCACGTCTCTGAAAAACCCATGTCGTTTCAATAATTACAGCCAACGAGGGCAAACGGATACAATTAGCAAAGCTAGTATTAATGAATGTTCTTCATATACCATCCTTAGTCAAGAAACTTCCAGAGTAAGGAAAAAGTTATAAACTCAAATGTTACATACATACATTTTAAGATGCAGTCTCAGGGGAAAGTATGGTGGAAATAGAACTTGCAAAGCACAGAGTAATGGCAAACAAAATATTGCAGCTGAGCCATTTTCCTTTCTCGTATCAACGTGGCTGAGATAGCATCTGTTTTTATGTAGTGTCTCATCTGCCTTGATGGGGGTAGGGTGGCCTCCCTAGGCTCAGGAGCCTGTTTTTCAGAGGCTGTGAGTATCCGGAAACTGTTTTCAAATTCTGTTGTTGCTCTGGGTGCTCCACGTTCATGAAAATCAACTGCAGTGTGTTTCACCTGGCTTAGAAGAGTTCTTACAGTATGTTATTTTGAAAGTGTGTATTATGACAAAATGTGTATTCTATTCATGGGTACTGCACCCTTTGGTTGTGATGAATAGAATTGTAAGTGTTTACATCAAACTTGTAGTGAGAAATTGTTTGGGTTGGTTCATAATTTACTCATAGCTTTAACAGTCAGTTAGGACTTTCACTATGGATGACAGGGAATGAGTACTCAAAATAGAGAGCTGGAGTTGTATCTGTATAAGATCTGTATGATTAGGTTTCTAGCATGCCTTAGGGAGCTGTCTACTGAGAAAAGTGTTAACACT